CCACGTATTTTTTCCTTTTTTTTTTTTTTTGGGGGGGGGGGGAGGGTTCAGTATTTTTTGTTAAACCATCTGGCAACCCTAGTATCCGAACACGATTAAAGCTCCGCTCCGGCCGGCCGTGCGTGGAGCCAGGGAAGACCTATCTGAGGCCAGCTTGGCTCCTGGAGGGAGCTCGGCGCTCTGCAGGTGGAATGGTGGGGCTGCAAGCTGGCCCAGATGGAGTTTGGAAATGAATGTGCTTTCAGGGGGTCCGGGGGGAGGGCGTCCCCTTCCTTTTCTGGGCCAATCAGCAAACAGGAGGGGTCCGAGCACAGCCCGAGGGTGAGGCCGCGGCCTGGCCCAGGAGATGTGTGTGAGGCAGAGGCAGAGGTCGCTGGAGAAAGGGAGGGGGAAGCTAGGGCAGGCTGAGAACGGTACCTGGGGCTGCAGGGAGGCATTACAAAGGAGGAAGCCTAGAATCCAGATGGCTGTGAAAGGGCCGATTGTGACATGAACAGAATGTAATAACCCCTCACACTAACTCTGCCGGAGCATGGGGAGGCGCTGGGGTGACAGCTAAGCCGTCTGGTCAGAGAAAAGAAACCCCCACACGTGACGACGCTAAAATGCTCTGCTTTATAGAACTGGTTTGCTGGCAAATGGAAAGGCTGCTGCTATAAAACCTTTGTGCAGTGTCTGCTGTTACAAAACCTTGGCTTGCTATTTCCAGCATGTTCTTACTAAGGAGGTACACTCGCTAAAGAGACAGTGGCAGGATGAACAGAATCCCAGTGCGTTCCTTACCTGTAAAGAACCAAAGGGATTTTGAAAATGTCATTCATTTCCCATCCTTGATACTGTTTACTTCTGGCATTGGACTTAGCTCAGAACTGGTCAACTTGCCCTGAAATAACTTTGTCCCTTAAACCAATATAGTTAAACTAACGCAAAGGGGGCCTGGCCAATCCTATCTGGTATACAAATGGCTTATTTCAGTTACCCTTAAACTGCTTCCCAGCTGAATCAATCTAAACGAAAAGAAGCCACAAACCAAGTAGGTGTCCCTACCACCTGTTGCACCAAGTTAACTAGACAGGCTGAAATTCATCCCCTTAAGTTATACTGTTGAAACGATCTTCAAGAGGCAAAGAAACCTCAGACAGTGGCTTTAGCATCAGTTTCACTTCCTGGCTTTCACGCACTAACGACAGCTCAGGCTTTCAAAGAGGCTTAGTGATTTTGGGTGCCCAATCTGAGAGACCTTGAAAAGGCCCCGTTTCTATAGGGTGACAAATGGCCACCCTCTGAAAAACAGCCTCCTAAAGGTGTCAGTGTGCACACTCCAAACCTGGGGCATCCAAAATTGCTCGTCTCTTCAGAACACCCTTGATCGTAGCGTGGAGCCTTCCCAACACGGTAGGGGAAGGGTGCAGAAACCACTGCCATTGGGATTTGTAAAACAGAAAAACAAACTAAAATTCAGGCTCAGCTCCACAACTGGTATAAATCAGGGCCATGCCACTGACGTTCAGGAGGTTGATTTATACCTGCCTCAGTACGTCTAAACTCTATCTCCCATTAACTCGGTTTTACTGAAACACCCCCTGCCCTAAAAGTACTCCACAAGCTATTTTAACCCGCAACCCCTATCTAAAACCAGAAGCTCCTAACAAACCGACATTTCCGTAGAAACGCCACCCGCTAGGAACAGCAACGCCCCGTGTTTTGCTGGGAACGGGTGGCTGCGAGCAATGACACCGTATCCCAGCGCTGCTCCAAGGACAACGAGTGTCACTGAGCTTCTGAAACCAGCTGTGCGATCAGCTCCTTGGCATCCTTCATGCTGGAAGAGATCTCGGCACCATCCTCTGCCACGTGGGTGCCGATCAGGAACAGCTTCCTCTCGTCTCCCATCTCAGACAGTGCCAGGGCATCGTGAATGTCAGTGATGCAATATGCCCCCTTGAGATCCTGGCCAACAAAGACAAAACACCAGTGGGTTGCACCTCTCATAAGCACCAGCTGCACCATCCAGTCTCTGAGGCACAGGCGGCCCCACGTGGGGAACGGTCAGCGGACACGGGGAACCAAGGAGAAGAACGAACTTCGGAGCATGCACTGACGGGCAGTGACATCTGGCTCCCCAACCCGTCGGCCCCTGGAGAGTCTGGCTGGTTCCATTCTAACTTTTCCCTAGAGTGAATGCGCAGAACCTAAGGGCATGACCCTGTTTTAGGTTGCTCCGGTGTCTCTGACACCAAGGCCCATCCCCGAACTAGAGAATCGCCCCGGTACTGTGACCAGACTGTATTGCTGAGTCCACCCCCATCCAACAGAGCAACGGCCAGTCGCTAGAGACTCTGAGGCAGAGCAGAAGAAACAAACAGGGTTTTAATAAGGGCAAAGCATCTTGCTTTAGAAAAACCCAGGCAGTCTCGGTGGCATGTTGCTAGAATTCGGGTGTGCTTCCATTCCGGCGCAGAGCAGCCAAGGAACATGAACTTATTGTCTGTGTTTTAGTGAAGGGAAAGCTTCAGCTAGGAGAAGGAGGTCTAGCAGAGAGAAACTGTATCGCAGTGTGTGCGTGTTCCTTCAGCTACGCCCCCAACCTACACACCCAGACAATCGTTTGGGATTCACTACTGGAGGCTAGTAGGTAACAAGACGTAAATAGATAATTGGCCTCCAGGCCCTAAATTAAATCATTTCCCATGACACTGTCCAGACTAGGGATGTTCAATTCAGACTAATTAACTAGTGAAATAGTCGACGGGATTTCCATCTACTATGTGATTAGTCTATAAGGGCGCGTCTGCCCTACTGGGCTCTTGCTACAGTTCAAAGGCTCAGGCCCAGCAAGGAGCACAGGCCCAGCAGGGACCCCTCTGGCCCCATGCTCCCTGCAGCGCCCGAGCCTTTGAAATGTACAAGAGCCTCCCAGGGGCTCATGTAAATTTCAAAAGCAGAATCACAGCAGAAGCAGCAAGAGCAGAGACTGCTTCAGCCCCTGCTTGTGCTGTTTCCCCTGTGCCCCGACCTCCCTGCCCCACTCTGAGACAGTGCTGGGGGGAACAGGCTTTTAAGCCAGCTCCTGCTCCTCCCTCTCAGAGTCAGCAAGGGGGAGGGGAAGCGACTAGTCGCATTGCTAGTCGACTAGTCTCTCACATCCCTGGTCCAGACATGCTGAGCTCTCAGGTCCAAACTGTGGTGGGGGATTAGTCAGTTCTCCATTTTGGCGCGTGCAGTCCGCACACACAGTTTCACACCTGCAAACATGGGCACCCCCACTTAGGTCACGTGGATTTCTAAGCATCTGGCCTACGCTGTGAGTGCACAAGCAAGCCTTGGATTATTTTCTTCCGCAATCGGAAAGCACAACATTGACAACCAGCTCCTGAGCCCCCTGGCCTTTAAAGAGTCAATGGTTTGGAGAGAGGCTGGTTTCCCACTGCACACTGACTGGTGCAGTTCCCCTTTTACCTGTTTATTGGCTAGGACCACCACAGGCAGGGTGGAGTCATTCTGGATCAGCTGATGGAGCAGCTCTTTAGCCAAAGGGAAGCGCTCATGGTCTGCTGCATCCACAACATAGATCAGCACCAGAACCCTGGGCAGGTACATCTTCCAGTAGGACCGCAACGATTCCCTGCCGCCGACTGGAAGAGAAGAGCGGGGCAGAGCTCTCGGAGCAGCTACACGACAGGCGGGGTGAGCGCAAGCAATTCAGATGAGAGGCCATTCGATTGTCTGTACCTCTGTTCTCCCGCACCGACCCCTACATAGAAAGGCCTCTCATCAAATTCTCATCTCCTCGGGATTCAGACGTTAAGCTGCCCTGTCTGCCTGGGCTCCTGGGGGAGTGTGGCCAGACTGCAGTCTCTCCCTGAAAGCATTTCTGCCAAAGCCCACATCCAGGTGCTTGCTCCTTTCTTAAGGCCTAACATTTTCAGACACCCCCTCTAGCACTGGGCGTCTCTCGGTCTGGGTACTGACTCCCTACTCCAGTCGAGGCGCCCAGCCAGAGGCCTTCCGAAAATCCCACTGAGCTCCCCACAAGATCCTTGTACAATAGGTGAAAATCGTTATTTAGGACAAACGCCATCGGCCCCAGTGTCTTCTGCATTCTGAGTACAGCTGTCTCCAGGAGAGCTGCACCACTGCACCTCCCAACCTCACCCACCAGTAGCGTAACTGAGCTCAGCCTGCATGCCCCCCCGTTACCCTGTACGGAGCCCAGGAACTTGAGGCTGGCCTAAGCAGATGTTCCAGAAAGGCATCTGGCTCCGGGGCAGCGATGACACAAGCAGGAGCATGTGACAGGTCTTCCTTCAGCTCTGGAGACGTCACAGGTCCAAGCAGCATCCCCGTTTTTAATTCCGGGGACGTCCCAAACCTGCAGCTTCTGGCGCAGACTGACAGAGCGCCCCGGAGGTTCTCAGGTCTCGAGCTCTCGCATTGATTGTGTGTGTTGCAAACATGGGGGTCAAAGGCCTCACAAACGGTCCCTGAGTCCCGTTCCCCGCCCCGGTCTAATCATTCTTCTGAAAGCTCAGCTCCCACTAAGTCCGACGCACACCCCCAGGCCACTCGCTAGAAGGCAAGCACTTACTTTCTAAGAACTCCATCTTGGCCTCCTCTGTGTTGATGCAGACGGCGTTGATGCCCTCCGTGGATGCTGTGCTTCGCTTCACGTGGTTCGTGGCCAGCGAGTGGAGAACGCTGGTCTTCCCTGCTCCGTCCAGGCCCAGCACCAAGATCTGTTTGCTCTGGGGTTTCCCCTGGAAGTAAGAAGGCAGCGCATGCTCACTGGTGCAGCATGAAGCTGCTGAGGAGGCTGTGCTGCAGGCCAGGCTGCAGGGAATCAGGCTGTGATGCATTAAGCATTTTGTGGGGCTAGCAGATAGAGAAGCAACGGCACCAATTGCGCTGTGTGGCCACTAGGCAAGAAAGCCAAACCCAAGTCTAACTCCAGCAATACGATGGCATTAGGGGCCTGTGCCTGCACTGGGAATAGAAAGGGTCAGATATCTCCAGACTAGGCCCTGTCCTGTAGTTCTACGCTGCGTAACCCCCGACACCAGCGGGACTCAACGCGTGTGAACCGACACCACCGGCTCGGAGGCCTCCCCTTTCCCAGCATGGCAGTCGCTGTGCGGCAGAGAGCTCCCTCCCCTGCAAGGCGAGTCGGACGCCCGAGGTCCCGACAGGTTTGGAGTGGGATGTAGGTGCCGCCCGCCAACCTGCCAGCCAGGACCCGGCTGTTCCTGGCCAGCCCCACCGCAGCTACTGGACTGTTGCTCACGACTTGGTTGCAGCAGCAAGAACAAAGGCACGTCCTGTGCGGGAGCCTGGGATTTATCTGCCCGGCGGCTGGTTTGTTTTACCAGCTCCGCAGAGCTGGACAGGGCTTTCGCTAGCTGCTTGCCCCGCGAAGGAGCAAAGCAGAGGAGAGCCAGCAGCATTCCTGGCCAGCCCCACCGCAGCTACTGGACTGTTGCTCACGACTTGGTTGCAGCAGCAAGAACAAAGGCACGTCCTGTGCGGGAGCCTGGGATTTATCTGCCCGGCGGCTGGTTTGTTTTACCAGCTCCGCAGAGCTGGACAGGGCTTTCGCTAGCTGCTTGCCCCGCGAAGGAGCAAAGCAGAGGAGAGCCAGCAGCATTAGGGGCTGCTGCAGAGCTGGGGACCCCCAGCCTGTGTCGTGCCTGACTCTCAAGGGGGGTCGCCCCCCGAGATGGGATGTGGGGGGACTATGACCCAGACGGTTACACTAGAGCTCTGTGCAAAGGGTACCAGGCGCCGGCCTGGATCAGAGCCCCGTGCAGCACCCCGGGCAACTGCTGCAGGGTATTTTATTAAGGGGAGGCCATACCCACCCCCACGTCTGCTCTACCGCTAGGGCCTTTGCTCAGCTGCTCCTCCGACTAGGACCCCCAAACCCACCCCCAGCAGCTCCCGGGGGCTGAGCAGCCCCGTGCGGCTCATTGCTCCCCCGTGCATGGTGAGGGCAGCCACAGTCGCGGGCTGGCTGCGGTCGGGCCCGCAGCGGGCGCTACAGATCCCACGGCGGTTCTGGTCGACGCAGGGGATGAGCCACATCAGTACTGCAGAGCTGGGCCCCATCTGTAGTGGGTCTTGGGGCCTGGGACTCCAGCTGGGTGGACTCTGGTTTTCACAATGCTAGACTGGCGCCCAGTGAAAGCTGGTTTGGTGCTGGCTCTGAGCTCTCTGAGCCACTCATACAGCCACCAGCTCCACATCCCTCAGAGCAGCCAGACTGGGTCAGACCAAAGCCACATCAGTACTGCAGAGCTGGGCCCCATCTGTAGTGGGTCTTGGGGCCTGGGACTCCAGCTGGGTGGACTCTGGTTTTCACAATGCTAGACTGGCGCCCAGTGAAAGCTGGTTTGGTGCTGGCTCTGAGCTCTCTGAGCCACTCATACAGCCACCAGCTCCACATCCCTCAGAGCAGCCAGACTGGGTCAGACCAATGGCCCATCTAGCCTAGTGTCCTGTCTGCCGACTTTTCTTCAGCCCTGGATTTTTGCCATTAGACCCTCTGTGCCCTTTCTACCCAGCCATCGCTGGCACTGCTCTGCTGCCAACGTTGCTGTTTGCACCCCCAGCTGGCTTGCAGATGCCGCAGCAAATAGCACAGAAAAGAAGGGAAAATTCACACTGGCTCCCCCACAGACCATGACAATGATGCTTAGACCCACATCCCCCAAGGCATTTTACACCTAACTCCCATTGCTTCCCCACGGATGCGGATCTCAGCTCTTCATTCCCAGCTCTCAGGGGTTTTACACAGGAAGGGCGGACGCAGCCTTGGCCCTGCTCAGCACAGGCAAGATAAACGAATGATGCACGGACGGTAACAGCTGGCCTGGCAAAGCGGAGTCTGACTCCCTGTGCACTGCCCTGCCCGCCTAGGGAGACCGGCTGTCCCACTATTATCAGGAGCCCCGGATATCTGGGGCTTTGTCTTACATAGGACCCTATTATCGCCCCACCCCAAATTTTCCTACTTGCCACCTGCAACCTAACAACATTGATGTAAACGTGGAAAACAGGCCTGTATCAACCCTGATGGAGCTCGTGTGGATGCGCCCACTGCTCCAGCTCCAGCACGCAGGGTGGCTCACGGCCTGCCCCGTGCGCTTCGTCCAGGAGAGTCAGGACGGGGCAGGGCTCGCCCGCGACCCTGCGCCCAACAGGCCCTTGGCCGGTAAACCTGCAAGGGAGTGGGGGGCTGGAGAGAGAAGCTGGAGCTTGGCTGCTGAGGCAGAAAGGAGGGACTGGAAGGGCCCTGTCACCGGAGTGCGCATTCCCGGGCCGGGGGACTTTGTCACCGGCCAGGGAGGGATCCCACAACCTCCCTCCTGCCCAGGCATGTGAAAGCGGGCGAGCGCCTCACCCCCACTGCCCTGCCTACCCACTAAGCTGATTAGCCGCGCGGCCAGGCGACCTGCCTGCTGGATCCCAGCCTGCCCGGGGCTTTGCAAATGGACGTGGCAGATGATAATCCCGCAAGCACCGGCCGCCCATGGCACTGTTCGCGTGCAGCCCGCAGCGCTGGGGGGGGCGGGGGGG